TGTGTACATATTGCCGGCCGTGCCTGTCTGCGTGCGACGTCAGATAGCACAAGGTCATCAGTGATCAAGTTCCCCGTTATTGTAGCTGCCGTGATACTGTCGGTACTTCATCCTCTCATAGTTTTTTTCCCCGGGATTCTGGAGAGTTGTACTGCTGGNTAGCAGCTAACATAACCAATGCTCGGTGTTGCCGGCGGCGTGGCAGAAAATAAGCATGGTGCCTGTATGTAAATGCAAGTTTTCAACTTCATCTGTGTCTATCTCTTGATTCCCGCGATCAGTCAAGTTCAACTCTTCTGAAATTTACTCTATGGTACTCAGTCCATCTTCCCTCAAATTTTTGTGGCGATTGATGCTGTAGTGGGCGCGTTCTTGTGCTTGGTCGCTTTGGCGGGTGCACAGCAGGGTGGTTGCGCCGCGTAGATACGAGTCTCACATTTTTTTAGGGGAGGGGCTGCGTGTTGCGCCGACAAGTTTGAAGCCTACAGTGGACGGAATTTGCCAAATCTTNGCCATCTTCCCTCAAAATTTTGTGGCGATTGATGCTGTAGTGGGCGCGTTCTTGTGCTTGGTCGCTTTGGCGGGTGCACAGCAGGGTGGTTGCGCCGCGTAGATACGAGTCTCACATTTTTTTAGGGGAGGGGCTGCGTGTTGCGCCGACAAGTTTGAAGCCTACAGTGGACGGAATTTGCCAAATCTTGGTTCCCTAGATAGCTACTGGCATAGTCTACTGCTGTAAGCCTTTAGCCTTCGGTGGATGTACGCCAGTCGCGCTGCTAATCTGTGTAAAACGATATTTTTTGTTCCTCCGCTTACTTTTTTTTTTTTCTGTCGTGCAGCACTGAAAAGCGTACCCCTGTCGGGCCACACTTTTTCAAAAAAAAACTATTGTGCATACTAGATCGGGAGGTGGAATAGTTTTTTGTGGTGGTTGCACAAAAGTACCTGCAGTAGGCTCGTGCGTAGTCGCGCTGCTAATCTGTGTAAAACGATATTTTTTGTTCCTCCGCTTACTTTTTTTTTTTTGTGTCGTGCAGCACTGGGTATATAACAAAAAAAATTGCAGCACAGGACCTCCCCGGCCGGGGGCCCCTACCGTACATCCTACGTACGTACCAGGAAGCCGACCGACCCCGACCCTCCCCGGGGGGGCGTTTAATCACCAGCGCTGGCGAGATTTTCGGGCAACAAGTTCAGTTGCGCCGCACTCACTTGCACAGCAGCTCCGCACCACAGCACTGCAACACAAACCTATCCAGATCCACGCTCCCCATGGAGAAATTTGAGATTCCAGTGGTGGATCTCTCGGGATGGGTAGGGGGCGCGCAAGGCAATGGGGATGACTGCCGCAAGTTGGCAGAAGCGCTTCATGTGAGGAGGCGATATTTTTTTTGTGGATTATTGTGCAACTAGTTTGACTACAACTGCTGAGTTAGCGACGGCACCGGCACCGGACCATCCATGCGCGATGCTGGACATGTGTACACAGTCTGCTTGACATTGGTAGCGTATGCGATTTGTTGTCGCACAACCTCCCGCCAGACAGTTAGTCGATGGTTGTAAGCACTAGACTATGCCATTACACCACTAGACTATGCTCTTCCAAATATCTGACTGCGTGCGAGCTACAATATTTAGCGGGACTGGCTCTAAGTTTGGTGAATTTGAACCAACTTCGGGAGAAACAAGTTCATGATGAGGGAATAGGACAGGGAACAGGGAGAGGGTATGCATGCGCAGACCCCGAACCCGAAATCCAACATGTTTACTTACTACGAAGTACAAAAATCCTGCGAAGGCTACTTACGTCCCATCGACTCCGCGCTGCAGTGCAAAGTTCGTTTGACTTGCCCACAGCTGGTTTGTGCATATGTTTCATGTTTCTCTGCGTCTCTGAAATCGATACCCCCACCACACGTATTGTGTAAACGGCCCAGACCCGACTAGGCCCACGGGCGAAGTTATGATAGCTTGTACAGATCCTGTATTCCTGGTATTTGTTTTGACTATATACATGCACACCGAATTGCCTGCGCTGATCTCGCCGCCAAGGTGCTTCCCTTACTTTCTGACGCACAAGTCCAGATTGACCGTAAGCCAACGCTGGTACACTTTACTTGACGCACAGTCCAGACTGATTGGCTGTAAAGTCAATGCTGTGTCGCTGCTACCCTACGCACGATACCTGAGCCGAGGGTGCCCTCTCCCGCCCTTCTATGCACCCTTCCATGCTCCGACGCACACTAAAAAGGCGTTTGGAGTTGTCCTCGTCCGAGACCCGAGGGTATCTGAGGTAGACAACAATCAGTTTCTCGACCAGATGGAGAAGTACTACGCCCAGAGCGACGGTGTCAAGGATGCAAGGCCAGAGGTGTGTGTGTGTGTGTGTCGATATGTGGTGCGCCCAGTATTGTTTGCGTTGGCTACACCACGTTGATATTGCGGAGAACCTTAATAGCAGGGTTCTTCGTGACTACGATCAGGTGGTAGGTGGTTGGATGCTCTGAATCAAAAGGGGTCGGTTTGTATTGAATAGGCTATGGGAGTGTAAGTATTCTGCTGAGGTGAAGCACACGGGTGGCCAGAGGCAGGTTGTGGGTAGGTTGGGGCACCAACTACAACCTGGGGGGGGAGGTTGTAGGGAGGTTGCAGCCCAAAGCGTGCAAGCTATCCCTCATCTTGGATAGTGGCGTTATTGCAATCAACACGGCGGGCTGCAAGCCCGAAGAAGAATGGGTCCAAGGTCGAACTGGGCCTCCCAACCTCCCCCCCCCCAGGTTGTGGTTCGTGCCCAACTTGCCCCTCTGGCCCCAGTGCAGATAATGAATATCTTGCATGAAGCTCTGCGGGTTTCACCATCTTGGTGGGGGGTGATGGGCCCTTTTGCCGGTCAGGTCAGTTTCATCTCGAGCCATGATCAGCAAAGCAACGAAGCTGTTTCTTGTTACGGATGTCATGACACGATCCGCCGGCCGTTTTGCCCACGCCTCCCCTTCCCCTTCGCCTGGAACAAAATCGGCAAGTTTTCCTACCAAGTTGGCGTTACACCTGAGGGCACGGAACGGCCACGCGCGCATTGCGAGCGCATCAGTCAGTTGCCGGACGGACATCGACCGTTGACTCTGTGTCCCCCTGAGGCCGACCCAAAATGGCGGTTCTTCTGGACGATAGTGAGTCTTGTTATGTCGGCCCACTCTGTGTGCACCTTGCCCGCTGTTGTTGAGCGTGCATGTTGGTTCGCGCCTGCGCATGGCTCCGTAGTATGGCACACCCCAGGCTTCTGGTACAGAAAACTGCGTCCGTGTTTTCTCCATTCGGGACACTCGTCTACATGATCTGCCGCATGGCTCTAGCGGACCGAGTACCCAATCATGGTCTAATTTTGCACCCATCCCAAATATTCCCCGTTGATTGGATGGAGCGATTTGGGCACGCCGAAACAACCGTATCAGCCTGGCAACGTCGTGCACGGTGTCGTGCTCGCAGCCGGCGCAACCTCCTCTCTACTGGTGGCAAGCTCGGCAGAAGTGACTCCCCGTAACCATTCATTGTTTGCGAGAGCGCAGGGTCCGCGGCCCGCCGTGACAAAATACCAGCAGCTCAACCCCCCGCCCGTCGTGCCAGAAGGCTTCGAGAATTGGTCTACGATCATGGACGCGTGGGGAAACAAGGTGCGTTTGCGCGATGAATTCACAAGCATTTTCAGTTTTACAGGTGTTGACTCCCGTCTCGTGTCCATCCAGGCACCGCGGTTAACTCGTTGGCAACGAAATTGATGAAAACCCAAATTCTGTACTTTGCGATCCTGGTCCAGCACGTTCGTTATCAACGCCATACCGGGTAGGGAAACGCGTGCACTATCAGCCGATCTAGCCGGGTCTGCTGTTTGTCGAATTTATGTGGTTTTTGTCATCACTGTTATGATTTCGCTGTTTTCGGGCGTCTCATGTTGGGTGCATGCGGGTTTCGTCACGGTGTTGGTTGGTTGATTGCTGATACGCAATGCGTTTCCACCCTGTCATCAGATGATTGGCGCGCTGGAGACAGTCTCGCGGCTATGCGCTATTGGTCTCGGGCTAGACGAGGAAGCTATTTCAACTCTCATGCACGAGGGCCCGCATCTCCTGGCCCCCACTGGTGAGCGAGTGCATGTTTTTCAACGTTTCCTGGCTTAGCATCATAGAGAACACAACGCTGACAATATTGAAGGCGGCAAGCACCGCAGGAGGAAATGTGAACTCTTCCAGTGTGACCCCGGCTGGCGCGTCAAAGACATTTTGACGGGTGTACGCAAGCTCCCAGAACAGATGGGTCGACATAGAAATGAACATTGCCCTTTCATGAATGCGCTGCTTCTAGTCCCAAGTCACATGCGGTACCGCGGCATGTGACAGTCCCGGAAGTCTGAGTAGACGGGCATCCTAAAGGAGTGATAAGCAGCGGCTCTGGTTATTTAACACGAACGGTTCCCACGTCATGTTCGTCCGCTCTGCGAGCAGGCTCGAACTTCGACAAGTTCAATTCAGCGGGCACTGTCCTAGCAGGCTACCACTACGACTTCAACCTGTTGACCATTCACGGGAAGAGCCGATATCCGGGTCTCAGCGTTTGGCTGCGAGATGGCAGGTTAGGTGCCTCCGGCGTCCAGGCGAACGTGTTCACGACACTGACTAGCACGTTCGACTCGTTTGGGGCAGCCACAAATTGTTGTCCCAGACTTCAGATGAGGGAGGTTGAGTATGCTGTACTATCCCGACGTTTGTTTCAGCACCCTTTGGTGGGAGACACTGGCTCTTACATCGTGTGACGGGTTTGAGGTCGATTCTTTTTGTATCAGACTATCGGGGAGAGTAGTCGTGAGTCTTGGTAGTAACGAAGTCGCGCAAATGTCTGGCTCATGTTCAGGCCGCTGGCGCCTCACCCCTACGATACCTCCTGGTGAACAGCCTTCTTTCCGCGTTGGCTGGCTTGTGGCAGCGACCGGCGTTGTGCATTCCTGTTCCACTCGCTTCGCTGATCTACAGTGCATTTTTCCTTGGTTCTGTGTGCCACTGCTGTGGAATTTGCCAGAAAAATGCCAGTTTCAGTGCCTGACGGGTGTCTTTTGGTCCAGGCCGGAAAACAGCTCGAACGACTCACCGGTGGACACGTGCTGGCTGGTTTTCATGAGGTGCGATGGATCCGTCGCGGTATCGGTCGGATTTAGTGCGTGGTGCTTTCGCCGTGTGCGTAGCTCACCCTATTGCCCAAGTTCTTCCGAACAGAGAGCTCTTTTTGTTGTCGTGGAAAGCTATCTGCCCCGTTCGGTGCGAGCTTTGAAGGGGTGCTCTGGCTCCTTCCTGCCTTGTCGCTGCGTCCGACCGCCCGAGTGTTAGCCTCTGCCGCTGCATAGCATGGTTTAGTTGAGCCTTATGCGTGAGGCTCAGCTCGCCCTGAATTTCTCTCAGCACCGCTGTGGGGTTGACGTATTGGAAGTTGAAACAATGATGTCAATCCACTCAGGCGCTGCTGCCGTTAGGTGGCGGTCTCGGAGGCGACCATTGAGACTATGCGGAAGAGGAAACAAGCGGGGCAGTCTCTGTGGAGAATCTCAAGTACCTGTTTCGGGCACGTCGCATCCGATCAGGTACGATGCGAACCACCGGTCAAACTCCCGACTGTTGCTCTCACGACGTTTCCCATGTTTGTTGCTCTTAACGCCGTGCTTTAAGAATGAGCTGTCCGTTGAGGTGGGCCAACCTCGTCGGTCTGTTGGTTTAGCCCATCTCTCGGACACCAGTTGGCGTTCTTCAACGGTCTGCGATTTTCAGTTCTCATGCATCAAAAGCGCTGGTGCTACCTCCCCCCGAGATCGACTAGTAGGCACTCGAGGGTGCTGCAGCATTAGGTCGACCTAACGCAGACATCGAACCGGTGCTCGCCAAGTAAACCCTGCATATCTGGTGGTACCAAAGTAGGGATGCGTTGAATGTGAGGTCCTCGTTGCATGCACGCACAGGTTCTTCGCCCGCTCGGGAAGTTCGCCACGGAAGAGGCTCTCGCCGAGTACCCCTCCATCACGGCCGGGGACATGATGCAGGAGGAGCTCAAGGCGATCAATCTAGCTGCTTGATGCAATCAACGCGTACGTCGCTCTAAAAACTTGGAGTGCTTTAGCGCACGCGTGCCCACAGGAACACCCAGGTGGATGTTGATGCTGGTTTTGTCGGGGGGTGGATGTACCCTGATGTTACCCTCGCACATGGCAAACGCAGCTTGGTCGGATGCATGTGTGCTGTGCTCCAAGTTGAATTTGATGGTAGGAAAAAGATCCTGCTCCTACTAAGGTACGTTCTACAAGGTATGGCCTAGTTGCGTTCGGTACTGCCTGGCTGGCACATAACATGGCTTCCACTACTCTTGACAGCTGACCGGACCGGGCCGAAAGGCCCACGGCAACAAATATGAAGCTACCGTCATACGCCGTGTATAAGGTCGCGGATGATGTCAGCTGATACCGCTGCCGGCAGATTCCACCTCTGCCCCGTCTTCGCGATGCGGCTGTTGATCAAATTGCTCGCCCGTGATGCCTTCATGCAGCGGTCCAGGCGCAGGGCTCCCCCAACCCCTTCGTCGTCGAGGGATGCCACCTCTCGATGACCCTTTCCTTAGAGGCTCCTGAGACCGAATTTACACGGTTCAAATCGGTCTTTCGGGTTTCTATTCTCCGCGTGCACACACACGGACTAAAACAACTGGTGTGGCAACGCCATGTGGACAACATCCGGACGTATTGCAGTGTTTACGCCATCGGCAACGGGTGTTTCTGCGTGAAGAGAAAATTGGTTTGACAAGCCCCTCGGGAGGCAGAGAGAGAGAGAGCACACCTGCAATCGACGATGCGTGCAGCGAATGATCCCCGTACCATACCTGGTAAAGCACCCTGTTGACCGTTGACATGTCAATGTCACCGATATTTGGTACACGGCTTGCGCTGTCCGGTGACCCGTCCTGTTCCCAGACGGAAGATCGATCGACCACTGGCTTTGCATGCATGTCTGCGAGAAAACATAGCATGAGAACATTGACATATCCTGCGGCCGAATCGACGCACGTACCCTCGAGAGCGGAACATTCGCACACAAGAGGCTCGGTGGCTGTCTACGGTAGCACGCACGGAAGTATGGTTGCAAACTACTCCCACCATAAGCAAGAGCCAGCCTCCCGCATGCAGTAACAAGCAGTTGAGCCATGTCATGGCGGCGTCAAAAGGGGGGCAGAGCGATGAAGAACTTTGGTGGCGTCAGGAGAGAGGGTGCAGAGCAACGCAGGAAGTGAAGCTACGTGGTTCGGACATATTTGTGTCGCACGAGTGTGCATGTGTGCATGGTTGTAAGCGGCATGCGGTCCGCCGACCGTCAAACGCCAAAAAAAAAGCCAACAATACTCTTATAAGTGCTGTGTGTGCCGGGAAGCATGCCCCTTGGAGGTGGTATAAACGCACTCCTTGTCCACCATCAAGGGTCACACGCACATACATACACATACATAGATACACGTAGCGCTGCCCACATGCAAATTATTTTGTATGCTCTCTCTCTCCCTCTCTCTCTCTCGATTGTAGCTCTCTTCCTCCCTCTTTAGTCTTCTCTCGTGTCTTACAGTCTCTCATGTCTTACAGCAGTACTACACTGTAGTCGATTAACAGCAGTCATTGCTCGGCAACGAGCCAGGTCCTCAGTGATCGTACGGTCGATTCGAGTCTGCGGTCTCTGCCGTCATCCGCGTGGCCAGATATAGCTCAGTGGATCCACGTACTACGCACACACACACAGAAGGAGGATTCGACTCTTTGGTGTGTGTTTGTAGTATATGTCCGGGCTGTCTCTTTCGTCTCCCCGGGACAGATATTGTAGCTCGATAGAATTCATGTGCATGCACACGAAAGATTCGAAATATATTTCTGTCTTGTATGCCCGCGGATATATCTCTCTGTCTGCCTCTCTCTCTACCACCTACTGGACTTCTATTAGGGGGTACGGAGAAGCGGAACATATTCGATTTTGAGTGGTCAGGTCATCATGACCTGTTGCTGTGCAATTGCCTGATCATCTAACTATTACCTCCACCAATACATCCTGTGTGTGCCGACCATTTGATGGCTGCTCTTGCGTCCGTAGGGCCAAAATTTCAAATTGTGGCCTCTATCTCTTTGCGCTGTCCAACAAGGTAGTAATAAAATGCGTTGTTCGTGACCCCGCATCGTACCGAGAGATGATTTGAATCACAGCTAGCTGTTCCGCTTGTTTGTAGTATCGCCGTTCGTGACGACATCGTGCCAAGACACAAGCTGCACTTGAAATTGAAACTTGAAACGAGGGTTTGGAGTCTACCTCGTGACGCCATCGTACCAAGCTGACACAAACGCACTTTCAAGTAAAAAAACTCAATTGCCATCATTGCACTGTTCTATCGTGTGCCTGCTGCGCATCACCTATCTTTCACCTCCACCAGTACATCCTGTGTATGCCGACCATCCGATGGCTCCTCTTGCGTCCGTAGGGCCAAAACTTAGAAATTGCGGCATCTATCGCCTTGCGCATGTACAACAAAGTAGTAAAAAAATGCGTTGTTCGTGACCCCGCATCGTACCGAGAGAAGATTTGGAGTATTATTATTAATAACACAGCTAGCTGTTCTGCTTGCTTGTCGAATCGCCGTTCGTGACGCCATCGTACCAAGATGACACAAAAGGCACTTGAAGTAAAAATACTCAATTGGAGAAGCAGCCGTGGCACACGGCAATCTATAAGCAAGAGCTGGATGCACCTGTGATCGTGTCGAAAGAATCGAGCGGGGCAGTGCTCATGAAGTTGACAGCTACGTAGACCAGAACGGCCACAGACCACGTGACAAAGATGGCGCTCGGGATGGCGATCGCCCAGTACCTGCGGCACGGTCATCGTGGACTCGTTTGGTCAGGTGCGCCAGCACATGGATAGATGATGCTTCTTGCGATCGATCACAAGCGCGGACGCCGGGGGAGGAGAACCATCAACGTGGAACATATCCTATAGCACTATAACAGCGATGTAAGATGCATGTTAGCATGGGGGCCTAAAAGAGTCCTGGAGTGCAGCCTGCCGTCTTGGCAAACGAGTCGACTCACTTGCTGGGATAGTAGGTGATGCCAAGGGCTTGGAGAGTGCTCTCCGGCACATACGCCCACACCAGGTAAAGCGCTGTCAAAGAAGGCAAGAGAGAGGAAACCGATGCAAATACAGCACGCCCCTCTTTAGAGCAACACGCATTAAGCTTGACATCGGACGAACAGCATCAGATCTCTCATCTCTCTCGTCTTGGCCTCTGCGGCACCTACTAAATACAGCAGTAGTGTGGGTCTGCAGCAGATTGTGCATCACATAAAATGCGAACCGTTGCGGCGTTGTGGTGCAACCTGCTGGTTCGCTCTGGAACATGAAGCAGCCACAGACGATGTACGGGGATAAATTCATCACAGCTCACCATACGCCACAAGACTGGCAATCCAGCCTGCGAATCCATATACTTCCACGATCTCGCCCCCGCCCTCTTTACGTCGCCTTGGAAGGGGATCCATGGCCGAAAGAGAGGTAACTGCCGCAAATGCAGCGAGCGCGCTACGGCGCGTCTCTCTCTCTCTCTCTCAACCCCCGTCGGCAGTGTCGTGTCGAGTGTCTGTCGAGCCCCCCGAGGTAGCAAGCCCTGACCCAACAGCAATACCATCCGGGTCCAAGCGACCGTCTGCTGTCCAAGCGGGCCAACCCAACTTGGAACCAACACGCCAACACGCTGTGACCCCAACCAAGTTACCCCTCGGGAACAAAAACGACAATTTACAGAAAATGGTTCCGCCGCATCATTCTTATTGGCGAAAGATATGCGATGCCCGATAATAGAAAACGGGGTTTCGCTGCCTGCGCTCATGATTCTGCAACATCGGGGCAGCAACAGCCATGTGTGTCCAGGGTTGCCAGACGTTCCTTTAGTGGGGTGCAGGAATTGCCACGATTGACGTGCACGGTGCTTGCACGTGTGCATGTGAGGGCGAAGAAGGGTAGTCAGAGGTCAACATCCTCGGCGTCGCGTCTTGTGTGCCGCGGAGGGCACATCTAATATTTGGCGCGTTCGGGCTAGCTACTTCCATATTTGACCTTTGGCATTCAGCTTACCAGCTCCGTCGCCAAGTAACGCTGTTGTCTCAAGGCTGGCTTTGAATTAGAGAAAAAAAACAGGGTTACTCACGGAGTTACAGCAGCAGAACCGCTCCGCGGAGCGTTACACATTTTTTTCAAATTCTACGGAGCGGAGCGTTTTTTTTTATTTGAAGATATCACTGCGCGGCGCGGAGCGGTTTTATCCGAGGGCAAAAATCCCACGGAGCGGAGCGTTTTTTTTCATGTCACCGAGCAAGAGCGGATCCGCTTATCCGTAGTGCGTTTTTTTTCACAGAGCGGTTTTGTTCACTAATCCTCCGTACGTAGCATATATACTGCGCGAAACCGTAGGCTTGAGGACGGTTTTCCGTCAGAAACAACCGTCGAAACCGCAAGGGTATCCGTACTAAATCGACGGATTACCTGCGATTTCGTGAAAAACGTTGGGTTTGGCGCACAAAAGACCGATTTTTTCGCAAGGCCTGCTGTGGTTGGAGGCCGCCGGTGACATCTTATGCGTCCTCGTTGCAAGGACAGCCCAAACGGACCAAAATGTTGTCAATTACATATTATTTAGTAAATCACAGAGAGGGACCGTTTCCCACATCGATACCTCCTCGACGCCTATCCTCCTCCAACACGTACAACAGCAGATGATTCCTCACTTGCGTCCCGTTGCAACTTGCCAGTACTTATACCCAATACTTCCTCGACTCACGTTCCTGCAACACGTACAACAAAAGTAGATGATTCCTCACTTAACTCTCTGGTTCAATTTTTTCAGGACTACACATACAAGTACCTTTTTTAGCTGCTGTGAACATAGGATAGAAAAAAAGAAGAAAAAAATACCGTGACTCCGTGGGAAAACCGTGACTGTGTTATTGCGGTTTCATCCGTGCTTGCTTATGTGACGGTGTAGCTTAAACCGCTTAATGGAAAAACGGCTTGGTGTATGGATTCTTCGGAAGCTCCACGGAGCGGTTTATCCGAGGGCAAAATTCTCACGTCGCGAAGCGGTTTTTTTATCATGTCACAGAGCAGTTGTTCTCAGGGAAAATATCACCGAGCGGAGAGGAGCGGTAGACCGCTCCGCTCCGTGGAAAAAAACTTTCCGTGAAATGCCCTGAATAAAATGTGGGGTATGTTCGTCCCATCTATTCTGTCTGGCGCTGGTTTACAGCCAGCCCTTCTCGGTGTATAACCTGTGACGTACGTTTCACAACCAACCGTCGCCCCGGTCAAGTGGTCTAGTGGTTGGTATCCTCTTAACCGCTAGTCGCAAAGGCTGGGAGTTCGGATCCTCAGACTGAGTCTTACGGTATGATTATTTCCGGATTGGATTTGGGGGAGGGGTCCGTTTCTGAGCCAAAAAAAATATTTGGGCGTCTTAGGCAGGCTAATTCTTATAAACCTAGATTCCTTTCCCAAAAAGCTTCACCTTCCAGGATGGGCAGCAATCCGGCTTCTTATGCAGCCAGATTCTTCAGTTTTTTGGGTCGAAAAAATCTGGGTTCAGCTTCTTGGGTGGTCTCCCCCCGAAAAGTTCGGAAGAAATCAGGATGGTGCCCGCCCAGATTTCTCATCCCAAAAAGTTCACCGCGGGTGAACCCAGACGACAAAATCGGCGAGTGCGACCTGACTTCTTGAC